GTTTTAACTAGCATAACTACTTAATTTAGATAGTAGCAGTTATTTGAAAAGGTAGTCTAACATTTTAGAATTGTTGGGTTGGTTGTAGGTATGGAGATGAAAGTTAACCTCTGGTATGTACCTGACCTTGGTGGTTTTTGTTTGGTGTTTTTTGTTGTTTTTTTTTGTTTTTTTGTTTTTTTTAAAAAAGAGAAATTCAATGCTAGAGAAACATCCATTGTATTTCTTTATACTGTCTTAATTTAATTTTTTTCCATTTTCTGTATACATCCAGAAATGACCAAAGGAGTGTTACACACTTATTGGAACAGAGTTGTCTATTCCTGTTACTGATTGTGTATTTTGCTGCTTTGAACAAGTGTTCTCCCTCAAGGTTTTTCGTTCCCTCTAATTTTAAAGGGGAAAATTCTCATGACTGATGTTTCATCCCAGGAAGAGAGAAATCTTTAGTATTAAAATGTGTAATTCCAAGTCGTAGATGGCTAGCATACAAGAACACAAAGTTGAGTCTGTCTGTTTACTGGCTTACTCATCTTTTTGAATGATAATTTAGACTTCCAACTGTTTTGAGTTGAGATTCAGCCCTTTAATTACATATGTTTATGTATAGTAGCAAACTTGAAGACATTATGGTAGAATGTTCTCTACTCTTGGTAATGACCCAACTATCACTCGAGCATTCGGAGCCAGCTCTCAGTAGCCAGTTTCACTCTTTCTTCTGTGCTTTTGTAGTTTCCAAACTATTCACTCTGTCTAAAACTACTATAGTTTTTCTACTAATTAGTATAAAAATATTTTGATAATTAGCAGTAACTGTGTATTACAGCACTTATTCATCTTAATAGATTTTTTTTTTCCCCTAGTGGTAGGTGAAACACATTCACAAAGAAGTTTTTATTCCTGTTGCAGTCATGGCAGAAATACTGTTTATCCCATACATTTGTATACAGCAGCACGTGAAATGTGAGCCTACTAAATATCAGCAGACTTCAGTTACTTTTACCTACTAGAGAAGGATGGGTAGCACACCACTTTTAGAAATACACTGGTCCTCCACTTCTTTCCAAAACTCTTTTTGCTTCAGAAGTGAAGGATATTAATGTATTCATTTTTGACCTTCCACGAGGAAATCAAATTTTTAGCCACTTGTAACAGGATATTACAAAAGCTAATTATGTTTTGCTAGATTTTATTTTTCAATAATATCCTTCAGTGATAGGGAAATGGCATTTTGCGGGTTATGTGTTTGGAGGGTGTTTTTTGTGTTTTCAGTGCCATTTTCAATTGTTAAGGGGTTTTTTGTATTACCTTTAGTTGATTTAGTTAATCATCTGTAATGCAAATGCGGAGAGTAAATATTCTTTTTGTAGTACCAGGTCTTATTATATACATCCATATGTTTTGTTCTTATTAATAATGTGCATCATCACTTTGAGGACTGACTGAAAAAAAGTAATATAGGTAGTATATTAGATACAAATTTACATAATATATGTAACAATGTAAATATTTTTATACTGTGTATAGTATACTCCCTCTATATAGGTAAAGACCATATTATAGATAGCATTTGGACATAGGCGGATGTAATTCTATTAGTTCTAGTTTTTTCATACTTGAGTTGAAAAACTTAATGCATTTTAAATGTATGCATTTTTTATGTATTTGTGAAGAGAAAATAAATGGTCAAATTAAAAGTCTTCAGTTCCATTACAGGCACTGGAGAGGATGTGCTTTTTGATTGATACAGATTTTTCTGCAGGTTTGTCTGCACCTTTGTGGCTTCGGGTTGTTCTAATGCAGTCACCTCGCTTTTCTCTCTGGCAATTTCTTTTACCTTCCTTCCTCTAAACTAGCTGTTCTAGTTTATTTATACTCTAGCTATCCTCCATGGTTTTTTTTCTCACATAGGTTCCAGTCTTTTTCCTGTTCCATTTCCACTTTTCTCCCTTTATTCCCTAGTCTTTTTTTCGTGACATCTCTCCTGTAAATAACTGGCTGTATGCCATCTATGTACATTGGATTTTGCCTCAATGAGGTAGTTTCTTTTTCGTGTTATCTGAGGGAGAGGATGAGACATTATGAATAGAGGTGAAAGAGCTTTTCATTTAGTGTGTGTAGAGATAGGAGATAGCTGTAGCCTCTGGTTATACTCAATGCATAGATTTTCAGTGATTTTATTCTTTAGTAATTGTAATTTTTTACGCTCCTCCCACTACACTCTTATCCTTCCCACATGTACTGTGGCCAAATGCCTTACATTTTCACAGGAATACTGAAAGGATATCAAAGGTCTTGGTTTGCCAAGTTTTAAGTCTCATCTCCAAAAAGCAGTATTTTCCAGGAGTGTGCAGCTTAGGCAGACACCCAGTAAAGAGAATTTCAGCCTACATGATTGAAGTGTGATAGGATTAAAGATGAGCGGATGGTTTTGTCAGGAGTAAGATGAGGTAATCTTAGAGCAGACAATGCTTTTAGGCTCTTCTGTTATGTTGGGACCCCTGGTGGCCTAGTGGTTAGGATGCGGCACTCTCACTGCTATGACCCAGGTTCGATTCCTGGTCCCCCGGGCAGATGGAGCTCGTTAGCCCTGTGAGGCCATCCATCTATGAGAAGGTCACTCTAAACAAACCTACGTCCTGAGGACCTCACTGCCATTGTCCAAGCTTGCTTGGCCCCGGCAGATGAACCTTAGGATTAAAGGGTGGGCTCAGTTCAGCGCATGCTGTGTCTCACCTAAAAATCCATTGCACAGGCTGGAAAGGTAAAAGACCTTTCCCAAAATCTTCGTTCGCGAAGACTGGCCATTATATCATGTATTATATATATATGGTTCCTTGGAGCTACGACTGAGGAAGTTAAGAACAAATAACCTGTTAACCCTGGATTCACCGTCATTGTGATCACAGTTGGACTTTGACCATATCTCTGAATATGGGGGTTTCTTTGATCTCATGAGTAATATTTGCACCCAGCTACAAGCCGGGTTAAGTAGGCTAAGCAGCTGTGCTTCATGGGGCTTCTGCCCTCCTTGTTTCTCTCCCAGCTTTTGTGTTAAATTCCCTTTTCCTGTTTCCATCCTGTTGTAGCTCTTTCCTCTACATGTTGAGGATGGCTCTCATCCCATCCAAGACTTAGGAGAGTGTATATAAGCAGTGAGGGTGAACTACTGTTTCGCTTTGTTAATGAAATGTTTGTTAAATGGAATGTCATCTCCTTGACAAGTGAACAGTCTGACTTACGTAATAATTTATAGATGTTTGGTGAGTGTCTAAGTTTGTTCATCAAGGAACGTGCATCTGCATAGGGCAATACTTACTCCTCTTTTACTCCTTATACATGTGTCTATTAAGCTTCTGAGGTGTTCTGCAGAAGAAAAATAGTATCAATAGACATACCCACTTCTACTCTTCTTGGCTGTTTCAAATAAAAAAATTACAGTGGATGATAGCTGAGGTTTCAGGATCCTGAATTTGTGAAGAAAAATTATGTCAAGCCAAAATAATTTATTTCTGTGAAGGAAAAGCATGCCTTGTGAAGTGGTACATGTCATGTGACTTGTAAAGCATTGACATTAACTGTAATAAATAAAATGTAATTCACCAAGAATAAGTGCAAGGTTTTATGCTATAGAATAGTCAGCTAAAAGGTGTGGGTCAACAGGTAGGTGGTAGCTATATCAAAAGGAAGTTACAGCAGATTGTAAGTGAACATATCATTATTGATTGATTTGTGAACCAGATGAATCATTTTAGATCAAATGTTTGATCTGGATCAGGTTTGAATGAGTGATAACATTCCAGAAGATGAGATGTGATGCTTAGGTCTATTTGTGGTAGCTGCAGGAAAACAAGTTACACTTTGGTTAGAGTAACCTTAACTTCAGAAAAGTGTTTAAATATATTTGCATGAATAAGAAGTTCTAGTTGGTCAGTGTTTTGCAGTGGTAATGTTTAATGCAGTATGCTGCATCGTAAAACTAATACATAGTGTCATTGAACCATTGCCTGAATTGCCAGCGTTGGGGTCCTGCAACCAAAGAGTAATAGGCGGTTTATGGTATGTCTAGAACTGTGGGACAAGGAAGATCTTGGATCTGAAAGCACAACCTGTGAGGACAGATTGGCTTAACTGACTTAGGCCAGAGAAGACTTAAGAGAGATAAAACAGTGTTCAAATGTCTAAAAGGGATAGCTGCTGAAAAGGTAAAGTAACTTAGTCAATAGGACAAAACCAGATACGCTGAATTTATAGGAACAGTTGCATTAAATCCTAGGAAAAATCTTCCAGCTATAAAAATAATTTCTTTATACTTGGATGGAATAGTTTGCTTACAGGGGTTTTGAAATTACTACTTTTCGTGGATTTTAGAAAGAGTGTAGAGAAATAGTTATGAGAAATAGCATAGGTAGACCTGATTCTGCTCTGGGGCATAAAGAGAACTAGATGATTTCCTGGGGCAGCCTCACTGGGTGTGTGTGTGTGGTTGTTCTACATTTAATAATCAGACTAATTTCAACAACTGAATTTTCTTAGATAGGGTATTTTGCAATAAATCTAATCCTGAAGTGACAGTACTGATAGTAACTTTGACATGGTTACCATTGAAGGGAAAATGTCATATTCTTCCTGCCAGGTGCAGATGGAAAAATATGCCTGTGGCTACTGCTGTTTCCTTGGCATACTACAGCAATCTGGGATCTAATACTCTTCTTACCCTCATAACACAGACTGAGTTCACAAATGGAGATGGCACTCTTTATATGGACAACAATACAAGTTTCATCAATTCCTCTGACTGCTTTCTTCATCTTATGATTATTACCTGCTACCTTTTGTTCAAGCCTGTGGTTATATTGCTGTTCTATATTTCCTTGTATATGCTGAATACATCCTGAATGGTATATGTAAGCTGCATGTATTTCATTTCAGTAATTTTATTTGCTCTTCACCTGTTAACTGGCAATGTATAAAAAAGGCAATGTCATGTATTTCTCTAGAATGTCAGCTAATGAAAACAGAGCGACCAAAGCCAAACACATTTATTATCAGATGTCTTCAGTGGACCACTGTTATAGAGAGGACGTTCCACGTAGACACTCCGGAGGAACGGTGAGGGTTTTATTCTTTTTTTGCTTTTCATGTTCCTTATGCCAAAGCCTCATCAGAGTCTCTGCTGGGCCTGCACAGCAATCAGCACTTGGAACTGTGACATTCTGAGCACATCTGAGCAGTTAGTTAAAGATTTTTAAGTCAGCTTCTGTAAAATATTATCTGAGCTCATAGCTAGTGTAAGAGTTGCCTGCAAGTAGGTGGAATGAGAGTGTTCAAATAAGCCAAGACTATGTCATGATACGTCTCTGAAGTGTTAAATTTTGAACAACCAAAGCCTGGATTGAAGTATTTCCAGCCTTGCTGTCTTACTCTTCCTAGTGTGCTCCGTTCTGGCACAGAAAGCAGTATGCTTATTATAATTTATTTTGTGTTTGCTTATTAGTTTTTCTTGTTTCAAGTAAACATTCACAAACTCTTAAGAATTAACTTTTTTAATGCACAAAAAGTGTAAGTGTACCTTGCTAAATGTTCTATATTCTGTCTCCAATTAGATGATGCACTGCATCTTCCCACTGTGGACATCTGTCCTGTTGAAACTAGTACTATGATTTGGCTGTTATTGTTTTTATCAGTAAATAACCAACAACTTTGCTTTTCTATTGTTTCTCTTTCATTAGTATATTCACTTAAAATTTTTTTTATTCTACCTTGGTACTGTTTCTCCACCCTATCTTTCTTCTGTACCTCCCACTGCATTATTATTCAGTAATAAATATCACCAGACTCTTCCCGTTTCTCTTGCTGGATGAGTAAAAATCAGCAGGTACTGCACTTGTGTGGGGCTATGGTGTGCTCATGGGCTGGCTGGTGTGTCTGTGCTGGTCAGCCAGCATGCAGAATAGTCATGGGCTCAGCTGGCCCTACTTGTCCTTCCCCAGGAACCCTCATCTGGGCCTGCCCCTCAGTGCAGCCACTGGTTTTTAGGATGCTTATAGGAATTTGGTTATCTTTGAGGGCCTTTTTTGAGGGGAATTTGAAAAAAAGTCTTTAAGTTGAGTTTTAAGAGGAGGAAAACAAAGAGTTGAACACATGATATGGTTTAATAAATCTTATTTATTTGCTGTGAAAATGTCTTGCAGGGAGGGGGAATACCAAACAGTCTCTTAAAATAGCAAGTTATTATCAGATAGTATTGCATAAGAGATGACACCCTATGCTCTGAGTTGTATTATACCTGGAAAAAGTGTTTTCAAATTTCCAGTAGTAAAATACTTACCAAATTAGAGACTGCTAATTCTTTAAAGTAACCATACAGTGAGACTTTCTGGTCAGCTTCACCACCTTTAACAAAATGCAGAATTTGGAAGGAAATTAAAGTGATTAATTTATAAAAGGTCTTCTGCTGCGTAACATGAAAATTGAAAATAGAAGCAATGTAGCAGGTGAAAAACATTATAAACCATGTAACATATTTTATGAGTTTCTAATAGAGATGTTGGCTCATTCATGATAGGGAAGAATGGACAGAAGCAATCCAGGCTGTAGCAGACAGACTTCAGAGACAAGAAGAGGAGAGAATGAACTGTAGTCCAACTTCACAGATAGACAATATAGGAGAAGAAGAGATGGATGCTTCAACAACTCATCATAAAAGAAAGGTAATGACATTAAAAAATAGCTGACAGGGCTCATATGTAACTAACTTTTGTAGAATGGTCTAGTTGGGTAAAACAATATATAGGGAATAGTATTTCTACATAAATTTCAGTGTATTACAAGCATAAGGTACGTACTTGTTTTATTTCAATAAAGCTGAACTGCTCTAGTTTTATTTACTTGTTATGCTGTCTGATACAGCACTTCTGAAAAACAAAGTTCAACCATTCAGGCACATGTTAACATTCTGCTTGTTGTTTGACCATTATTTCATCCTTTTGTTTGTTTGCTCTTTTAGAAGTATGGTAATAAAATATCTTCTTTAGACGAGTACATTTTTCCCCTTTCTCATGCAAATAATACCCAGTACAAATTAGGTAATTTGCATGAGAAAGGTTAGCAGAATTTCACTTTTAATGACCTTGTTTTTTACTAACTGGGAAAATAACTCTGCTTTAGTTTTCAATGAAGTAAAAGAAAACAGCATTTTATTTTTTCTGCTGTCTTTCACAGGTTTTGGTTTAAGTAGGAACATGTACATTGCTGGTCATAACATACCTGTGGTTGTATCTCCTGAGTCAACAGGTTAAACACACAGCTTGAGGGCGTGTTTTAAAGATCTGATGCCACTCAAAAATTTGCTTATGTGTTTCCATTTTGTCCTGTGTTTCTGTATGGACTACTCTTAAAGAATGGATCATTCAAATGGATGTCTCTCATTTACTATACAGAGTTGACATGACTCAAGAAATGCATTGCAATTGCATGAAAAATAATAACCAGTTTCTATAGGACTGGCTTAAGTCTTTCTAGCTAAAGTGAAACTTGGAGAAAACTAAGTGGAAGTCTGCTGACAGAGCAGAATAGTCTTATAGCTCACATAATTGAATGCCTTTGAATAATGAACAGTTAAAAGAAATCGTGAATGTGTCTTTACTCATAGAACATATTTTTTTGGTTGCACTATATGAAGCAAGAATCATAGAAAAATCAGGAGCTGCACACTATACCCTTTATGAATACAACAAAGGTGTCAAAGGTAATTTTAGTTCTATCATGTCCTGACTTTTGAGAACTTGAGTTTGCAGTGAAAACAGAGTTCTTTCATGCAGTTTCATTGTATGCAGTTTTCTAACCTTTATCTGCTATAGAAAAAGGTAAAAACCAATTATATACAGCCGTAACAATACTCTGATCATATATTGTCAGGCTGACACTGAACTTTTAGCCTTGTGGCATGGATATTTAATGACTGTGCTTCAGGGTAAAAGTTGATAAGTTGACAGCAAGACAGAGGCAGCATTTAAGACGTGTCAGCCTTGTAAGAGGCAGTGTGATTATGTGGAAGGGATTTGGATTTGCTCTCGTAAAGATCTAAGCACTGTTCCAAGCCTGTGTATTCTTTTAGTGAAATAAAAAACCACTGTATAACAACAAGCATTTTCAAGGTATCAAAATTAACGCTGTCTGATACAAGTAGTTTATCTGGAATGTGCTTTCCTTGTACACAGTGCAGTGCGTTTTCCCATATGACAAAATGGGTTGTGGGAACAGAAGGAGGAGGAGGAGGATCGATTTTGTTTCTGTCTTGCTGCTTGTGCTTTAAGAAATGCTGAAATAATATTCTGGGACAGAATATTTAATGGCTTTGGCAATAAGCCAAAAGCAAACTCAACGAAACAAAGGTGAAATGAAAAATAATGATATTCAACTTCTAATAATAGAGCAATATAATGATATCAATAATAATGATAAAAATAAATACAATAAAAGAATTTTAAAAAATAAAATTAAAAAACTAGAACCAAAACTCCGAATCCCACTGCAGATCCCACTGTCAGAAGACTTTAGTGAAAGGTGCTCAGAAGTTTTTGGAATAAAAAATAGTAGGTGACCATTATGATGTGGAGATGTCACTGCCTCTGTTAATTGAAATTCTGAAAAATATCTTTTTAGAACTGTTTCTGTTTTGTGGAAATGTTTATGAAAGCTGTTGTTTAAGCTTTTATAGGCATTAATATAATCAGAACCATTTCAGTTATAATGACTTAAGTGCATTTTTATTGCCTTTTTTTGGTATTGAATTTCTTTCCTTTCAGGGATTTTTGCACAATGTGTCCTTTCTTGACAAAAGCTTATTTTGTCACCTGATTTTACATCTAAACCCAGTGAATTTTGCTTGTGCATGCACCAGATGGTATACATATGAGTAGATGAGCATAATCAGATTAAGAAACAAGACAGAAAGGACTTGGGCCTGTTCTTCTCTAAAAAGGTAGCGAAAAGAAAACAGTGTTTAGGACAGGGAACTTGATTTGAACAGACATGACAGCTATGTTCCTGGTTAGATTAGCTGGAAGAACCAAAAGCACCTTTTTTTTTTTCTTTTCCATTTTTTTTTAAATGGTGTCAATGTGCCATTTAAGTTTTACAGTAATAACATCACTAAAATTGCAGTGGAATAGCACTGGAAATTCTTAGCAAACTGCTAACTCTGAGTGGTATAATCATTGTGCACATCAGGAATTTAAAAAAAAAAATTAGTTCCTTGGTAGGAATTTTCAACACCTGTATTAGGGTGTATTCTTTTGAACAGATCACCCACAGGAGATGGTCTGTTCAGATGGTGACCAGATACTCCTGTAGGGGAGTAAACAACCTTTACAGAAGGCTGAACATCACACATTTCTTTGGTTACTGTAGTCTCCTGTTAGCTTCATTGCTTTTTTTTTGTTGTTGTTTACAAATTTGATTTGCAGGATGAGGGATGAGTAAAGAACAGATTTTTCAGAGGAAACCTAAAGGTTATATAATGATGAAAAAGATTCAGAACTTGGGGTAGGGTAGGAATGAAAAACTAGGGAAAAACATGAAGGAGAAAGAGTCCAATTTTATGGGAGTCTCCAAACTTGCTTACCAGCATCCCTCAGGTTTAGGAAGTATTTATATTTTTCTACTGGTTTTCAGTACACCCTTAGCTATGGCATCCGTGTTTTTATCTCCCAAGGTCTTGTATTCTTTGGTAGACTTCTTGAGTTACCCTGCACTGCATATCATCTCTAAGCCTTCTGCTAAGCTGCTAAAGAACGAGAGCATCAGAAGACTTTATTCTTAGAACTAACACTATCGCCATAACACGCTGTTAAGCCATGGCTCAAAATCTTGCAAACCTATTACCTTTCTCTTATAAATATACATATATTTTAAACTTATTTTCACTGAGCTTGCATCTAGATTCCTGACTGCTTTGCTGAATGTTATGTAAGCAAATTTTGGATGAATGAGTCTTTGACTGACTTGGTGCCCCTAGCATCAAATCCATGTTAGTGATCAGTTAAGCCAAGATCCTCCTTCTTTGTATGGGCAAAGGGCAGCTTTTCTGAGCTGGTTTTATTCAGACTCTGATGGTCCCTCTCTTAAGTCTAGCCTCTTAGAGAAGATCAGAAGTGTGGGAAAAAGTTACTCCTTTGAAGGTGCTTGTGATCCGATAAATTTGTGACTTTTAGAAGTGATAAGTTGTTACAGTCACTACCTCAGTATTCTTTATCAATAAAGCTGTCAGCCATTCTTTGTCAGGGAACACAGTAGCTTGTGAGTGAAAATATGGAGGATTCTGCCCTGAATTACTCATCTTCTGCCTGAATTGTGTTTTGAAAGTATTTTGGATTTTTTGTGGGTTTTTGTCAATTTTCACTGCTTTTGCTCAAAGGCAGTTCTCTGCTTGATGGTTGTCATAGAACCATCGAATAGACAACCTGACTTTCCAAAGTACTGAACGTGATAGTTGAGAAGTCTTACCTTTAGTTGATTAAGTACAAGTGGGTCACAGATTTACATACTACACCATGAGTCAGCAATTATCACACATTTTACTAGTTTTTGGAAAAGTTGACCATTTAAGGATTTGTTTATGGTAATAAAGTTTAACTTTAACTTGTGTAAAGTGAGTTTGCTTTAGGTAAGAATGATACTGAGTCTTTGAAATCTCTGTTACCCATATTTCTTGCAGAGATAAATGCAATTTTGTTCTTCCTGATGTGAGGTAGTTTTGGCAGCAAAATAAAATCTGTCACTGCAAAATCTCTAAGTATGTTTATGTGTGAGCATCAAGGTTACTTTGCTTAGAAGCTACCAATCAACCATTACACGGGAAAAAGATTTAATTCCTGTTGATGTAGCCAGGAACTTGATATATGGAAAGCATCTTCTGCTTAATAAAACTTTGAAATACCCAGCTATCCAGGTGTTAAATAGTATGTTGAAGACCTTTTGCAGCTTTGAATTTGCAGGTTGAACACTTAAAAGCTAAGGAATTACAGCATTAATGTGGTTCGTGGAACCTCAGTTTTACCTCTTATGGGAGCAGATTGCAAACTGACTCTGAGTGAAAAATTGCATAAATCGTTTTCAGAGTTTGTCTACAGCAAATTCAGATCCACAATAATAGCATCATGCACTTGAGCTTAAAGAAATAAATAATTTTAGAAGGAAATTTTGCCCTTTATTCTTTCTCACAAGCAACTATATTTTGCTGCCACTATTTGTGATTGCACACTAGGGATCTGCCCAATACCTCTACAGTTGGAATATGTGTGAGATATGTAGGCACTGGTAGAAGTATTTCTGGTAGAGATAAGGGAACTACTATTTTCCATTGTGGAAAATACAAGTAGAAGTTTATCTGAAACAACAGTATTCAACAAAGCAGCCTGAGGCCACAAGTAGTGATAGAATGAGACACTAAGAAGATGAAAGATAAGGCATGATCTTTTTCTCATATATAACAGGATTAAGTATATTTAACTTAGCAAAACTGGGACTTGGAGTATAATTACTCTTTACAAATGTTTTGAGGTATATTATTCACAAAGGAAGGAAGGTTCTTGATACTGCAAGACAGTACTTTAACAAGAATAAGTGAGTATTGTTTTTCAGAATTTTTAACTGCTTTTCTCAATGTTCCTGGGTTGCAGCACCACAAAACTTGATGGTTTTGTGGTGCTGCAACCAAGCCAGTAACACAGCACACTGAAAGATGTTCTATAGAAACACACAGTGGAACGCAGTGATTGGCCAAAGAAATCCTGCTGGCGCAAGGCAACCTTGTGCAGTCACTGCATTCTCAGTATTGTGCTGGTTTTTCTCTACTTCTTCATCTTTGCATCTAAGGCATGGACCGTAGAGTTGGTGCTTCTGAACTGGCTGTGAAATGAACTTGTACAACTAAGATGATTATTGACTCAAACTTTGGGCTCATGAAAGTGACTAAACTGCTTTGGGATCTGAGATCATCTGGTCATATTCTTACCATGTGTGACACTCGTGTTGAGTCAGTAAACTTACTAGACTCAAATTGTCTGTTGGTGGAACCAGTTCTTGAATGTACTATGTTTAGCCTGGAAAACTAGAGCAATAATAGAATCACATGAAAGACTAAAATTTGCCATCTCTTCCTTTTCAGAGCCAGATTGATTAATGTAAATACCATTTACGTTACAGTAATGTAAATACTATTTACATTATTTGCATTATTATATAATGTAAATAATGTAACCTGTACAAAAATTTTAAAAAGTCTACCTCTAGTGCAAAGGCTATTGTTGAATCTTACAGGTATAATATTCCAGTGAGGATTGTGTATGCTTCAAAAAGCCATCAGTGCAATGTTTGGTGTTATGCAAAACCTACTGATTTGTTTGTGTTTTTGTGTGTCCCTGATAATACAGGAGCTGATGAACTTTCTTAGATGTGGAACATTCACGAAATGCTGGGATAGGCTGAGACTTCGTTTTGTGTGTGCTTTGTAAAAATAAGTGTGTAAAAATAAGTATGCTGTGCGGTACTTGGCTTTAGAGAAGTATAATAATGCTATTGAACAATTTATCCTGGTGGTTTAATGACAACAGTTAGCTGCCTTCTTTGCCTCAGTCTTCAATAGCAAGACCAATGTTCTCTGGGTACCCAGCCCCCTGAGCTGGAAGAATGAATCCCCCATAATCCAGGGGGAAATGTTCAGTAGCCTGATACATGCTCTAGTGAGTCCAGAGCGAGGCAATGGAGCTGGTGAAGTGTCTAGAGCAAAGTCTTATGAGGGGCGGCTGAGGGAACTGGGATTGTTTAGCCTAGAGAAAAAGAGTCTCAAAGAGGACCTTATTGCTCTCTACAACTACCTGAAAGGAGGTCGTAGCCAGGAGGGATCGATCTCTTCTCCCAAGTAAGAAGTGATAGGATGAGATAAAACGGCCTCAGGTTGCTCAAGGGGAGGTTTAGATTGGGTATTAGGAAAAATTTCTTCACTGAAAGAGTTGTCAAGCATTGAAACAGGCTGCCCTGGAAAGTGGTGGAGTCACCTTCCCTGGAGGTATTTAGAAGACATGGCACTTAAGTACATGGTTTAGTGGTAGTGCTGGGTTAACAGTAGGATTTGATGATCTTAAAGGTCTTTTTCAACCCAAACAAATCTGTGATTATGAACTTAATAGAAGTGGACCTATTTTTGTAAACTGTTCTTATTGTATTGATAACAGCATTTGGTTATATGTTGGAACTGGATAGCATAAGTCTCGCTAATCCTTGTTCTTTGCTCCTTATAGACAATGAATGATTTTGACTATTTAAAACTACTGGGCAAAGGCACGTTTGGCAAAGTTATCCTGGTCCGAGAGAAGGCTAGTGGCAAATACTATGCTATGAAGATTTTGAAAAAAGAAGTCATTATTGCAAAGGTAAGGAAGGTTATAGTTTTAATATTGGGTCATTTTAAAGAATGGAATAATCAATATTTAATACATAAGGTGTATTTGATTTTTGATGGTAACTTAGTTTGATAGAAGTATGCTTGTATTTTCAGAAAACAAGAATACAAAAAAAATGTGTGTACCCATTTTGCATGCCTTTTTCCAGTATTTTATAGTCTAGAGTGTGCTAAAACACTGAGGGAGTTCACTGGGCAAGAAGATAGTGCAATCCAAGTTTAAACAAGAAAAAGTGAATTGTAGGGTACGTTAGATACTTTTTTTCTAAGTCAATTGTAGGTTTATTCAGATAAAATCATTTAATTTAATGGGCCTGTGCTTTGTTCCTGCCATGTTATATAAGATTGCTATGTATGGGACTAACAATTCCGTTTTTTCTGTTTTTGAAATGTAAGGAAAGTCTGAAGTTGATGTCTTAAGAAGTGGTTTAAACTGGCATTGTCCAGTCACTTAACCTTGTTAAGTGTTACTAGCCCGTGTGCTTGCTCATAATATCACTTCAGTTTAAACTTAGATCATCTGCTCTGAGCTTTGTTTCTAGCAATTCTGAAGTTTTGAATCCCACTTGTGCAGAACAAGTTGAAAGCAAGAAACCTTCATGCATTTATCAACATGAGACGCAATTAAAAATAATCCCATTTGTTAAGTGAGGAGGTTTTGAGGGATGTGGATCTGACTGGGATTTTTGAATGCTTGAGGCTAACAATATCAGTATCCATAAAAACTGGACGTGAATGGGAACTACTGTGTTTTACATACATTATATTTTAAAATATCCTTCATATTTTTCTAGTTTTCCCATTGACCTATGAAAACAGAGCTTACAAGAGTTTTGCAGTCTGTCTCTATGTTCATTTGTCTGTCACTTACTTTCTAGTAACTTTTGAATGTGTTGATCAGTTTTGATTAAATTTGATAGAGGAGTAGAAGCCTCAGACAGTTATATTTCCTTGAGTTTCATTAAAACCAGCCCTTTTTTAGGCGGAGAGACTTAAACTTATGTCTTCAGCAGTGAAGAGACTGACTGAGTTCTATGTGCCCTTAGCAGCTGTGTTGTGTGCACTGGCAGGCTAGTCAGCATGTATATGGCTTGGACTAACAGGAACAGTGTGTGTCCTTCTTCATAATCAGGACATACAGGAAGAAAAGAGGGTATTGCTTCTGCATTCTCCTGATTCTGCATGGGAAGGAGCATCTCAGTGGTCCTCCTTTTAAGACATAGCAACAATCTCTGTGTGCTGCCCTGTGGGTCTGAGAGCCTCCCTGGCTGCTGCGTGCTGCGTTCCAGTCTCCATCCTGACATCCTTATCCAGTGTTCTGCTCAACCCTGGCACCTTAAGGGGTCCTCAGGGGAGTCTGAGATCAGACTCCTGTGACACCCTTTTCTACTGCTGCTCGTTTATCTCCTTCCAGCCTTCAGAACATTTCAGCTTGTTGCTTTGTATCAATAACATACAAACCAGATTTTTGAATTTTAGGGTTTTTCCATTTACTTTTCTGGCTGCTACAATATCAGAGACTTTTTAGAAGGGTTAAAACTGATTGTTGGATAACTTTGTCTCTGATGAGCAAAAATTCTTGTTCATAGAAGTATGTATAAAGCAAGAGTGATTTTGAAGAAATCAGAGATACAACTGTTTGTTGATCTGTTTACTTGAAAACAGAAAGATAGACTAGATTGAGCAGAACCTGGCACTCCCTAAAGCAGACCAGGTTTTTCTGCCTATTTGTAGACTAGCAAGAAGATTGTATGAGGAAAGATGCCTTTCATCCTGTGAAGAAAATGGAAGCACCATAGTCTTTGAAATTTTAATTCCTCAGAACTGGAATTTTGTTTTGAAGGGAGTCCCCCAAGTTTTCCATAGTATGGTTCTATATTGATAAGAAACTGATGAAAGAATAAAAAGTAGGCTTTTTTTTTAGGCTTTTTTTTTTAGGCTTTTTTTTTTTTTAAACCATACTTAGATCTTCAGAAGTGAGGTGGTCATGTTTTTTTTCTTTCCCTATTGTCACTAAATACCAGGGTTTTTTTCTACTCCTTCCTAAACTAAAAACAAAGCAGACTTGAGTTTGAACTTAGCTATCTCGGCCAGTCAGCGTATGATCATGCCATGGGGATTTATCAATGGCATTTAATTCTGGAGATCGGGGACCCCTGGTGGTCTAGTGGTTAGGATGTGGTGCTCTTACCGCTGCGGCCCGGGTTCGATTCCCGGTCAGGGAACTCCCTTGGGCAGATGGAGCTCGTCAGCCCTGTAAGGCCATCCATCTAAGAGAAGGTCACTCTAAACAAACCTACATCCTGAGGACCTCACTGCCATTGTCCAAGCTCGCTTGGCCCCGGCAGATGAACCTTAGGATCAAAAGGTGGGCTCAGTTCAGCGCATGCTGTGTCTCACCTAAAAAAAATCCATTGGGCAGGCTGGAAAGGTAAAAGACCTTTCCCCAGATCTTCGTTTGCGAAGACTGGCCATACTATACTATACTTAATTCTGGAGATCAGTGTGAATAGATCTGCAGTCCCAGCTCAGCCTGTAATGTGATGTAATATACATTCTAGAGCCATAGAATGGCTTGCATTGAAAGGGACCTAAAAGATCATCTAGTTCCAAAACCCCTCCTATGAACAGGGACACCTTCCTCTAGACCAAGTTGCTCAAAGCCCATCTAACCTGTCCTTGAATACTTTCAGGGATGGGGCACCCACAGCTTCTCTGGACAACCTGTTCCAGTGCCTCACCACTCCCACAGTAAAGAATTTCTTCTTAACATTTAATCTAAATCTCTCTTCTTTTAGTTTAAAACCGTTCTCCCTTGTCCTATTGCTACCTGCCTGTGCAAAAAGTAGGTCTAACCTACAGAAGGTCTAACAGCATACTGAGGCAGAAAAGTGGTGCACTGACAGCTGTATAGCATCTGCCCAGTTCAGACTAAATCTGTTGATCCTAAGTTTTCATGACAGATTAATATTACACTTACCAGGAAATTGCTACCAGTATTACAGACTCCTGAGGCAATGCCAGAAAAACTGCCCACTGCCAGCTTTTTATGCTGCATATCTGGTGAACTACAGAGGTTTAAAAATAAAAAAATAAACCTTTAAACTTGCTTTTTTCCTTAAAGTTTTGTTTGTTTGTTTGTTTTCCCCCCAGTATGTGGTTGTAGTGTTGTGCTGGTTTAAAAGTTAACCAGCAGGGGAAATGAACTCAACTCAAAAGAGAGATTATAAGTCAGAATAACAATTTATTAAAATAATACAATAAGTACAATTATACAGACAGACAATTGGTTTTAACCCACAAAACCCAAATGTATAACCCAGCACCCGGGGGCAGGAACAAAAAGTGGTGTTCCTTGTCCACCCCCCCGAGTCCAAAGTAAAGGGAGAGGGGAAAAACCTGCTGGTGGGAGAGCTGTTGCAGTCTGGTCAAAAGTGGTGATTGCAGTCCAGTCAAGGGTGATGAGCTGCAGTCTGGTTGAGAGTGGTGAGCTGCAGTCTTCCTCTGGATCCCACGAGTGGTAAAAAGGTTCCAAAACTCCAAGTTTATATATTCTCCAGTTCAGGCAGGAATGCTCAGTCTTTCCCTCAGAGCGGGGAATTCCATAAAAGGGCATGGGGACAGGAACATCTTCCTATCTCGCAGGCCTCTTAACGCCTAGTTTATAGCCTGAGGAGTCAGGCTGCTCTGGGCAGAGGGTGTAAATGCTCTATTGATAACAGTTTCTGGGAAATGGCATGGAAGGCTATAGAATACACAGGTTTGGGTTACACCCATCCAGTGATGAATTGGTCCCAGCTGTTCTAACTAGGACAAGTGTATATACTCAATGTTGCACTGCTATTCAGCTAAATGGCATCATAATTTATTACCATTAACTGTTGTTGTTGTTTAACTTCCTATTTTGACAATTTTTAAAGTCTATTTTAAAACTCCTGGCATCTGTGTTTACTTTCCAGTTTAATAATACCTTATCTTCAGAGCATCGTCTCATAAGTATGTGTAGTACAATAATGTTATATTGGTATTATTTGTGGCAATAATAAAGTGTACTCTGACTAAATATATTTACTTTTGCAGGATTACGGTTGAAGTTTGAGTCACACAAGGCTAGTCTTACTTCTGTGTAATATAAAGCTCAGTGGTAGCTTAGCACTACAGAAAATGGCTAAACCAGCCAAGTGACTCTCAGGCTTTTCAGGCCTGGTCCCTGGCAGCCTGGGGAGGGGGATTCACAGTAGGAATTACATGCAGAATTGCATAAAATGGCTGTGTATTCATAATGTGAACTCCCTAAGAGCTGTGTTTTCTCCCTAGTCTTAGGCAGCTGTTCGTGTTGTAGGGCAGGGCCCATCATCCTCATCCCCTCACCCCTGTACAGCTCTGCTCTCTGCAGACCTGGTGGTGTGAGTGGCCACAGCCGTGCCCCTGGGGCCTTGCCCTCACCTGCCCAGGCTCCTTTGCCCCCTGCGTGGTGCCCACCCAAGGGGTGAGAGCCTGGAGGGAGTAGGGGATAAGAGCGGGTGAGCTTCCCAGGAAGGGAAGGCACCAGGTTAGTTTCCTTCTCTCACTTTGGTATAGGGCTTCTTTTAATCTTTGTTGAGGCTCACAGATAGGAGAGTGTCACTGTCTCTCTCCAAATTGCCTCTTTCCGCAAGTATGGCTGAAAATGAGTTGGGGGTTGTGTGGGCATCTCCCACCTCCTGAGAATGAGGAGAATGTCCTCAGAGAAGGAGGTCAGCCTGGTCAGAGGAGCACTGCTCACCGCCAGGCTCCAAAGGGCAGCCTGGGTGGATAAAAACAAAACCAACACCAAACCAAGTGAAAGTTTAAAACCAGAAAAACTGACTCTGTGTAACACTGGGCTAAATGAGACTGGTTTTTATATTTGCCTGTCAGTTACTCCATGTGTATGCATCTTGCAAATTGGTTCAATCTCTGTATAGATTCATTGTTCAGGTGATTCATACCAGAACTGTGAAGTTGTGATGATTATAAGATGTCAAATACAATATTATAATTTCTTCCTTCCCTGAATCAAGACTTCACTTTAAAACAAGAAAATAAGAAAACCAAATAAAAAAATATGTTAAATTTTTTTTGTCAAACTTAAATATTTTCTCAAAAAATGTGAAGGTTCATTTGTTTTTCAAAACTGTACTGGAACTTTCTCTTTTTGAAGTGTTGACCTTTTTCTTGTAAATAATTAAATAACAGTTTTGTATCTTAACTCAGACCTACTTCTTCTACTCTCTATTTCTCAGGATGAAGTGGCTCATACACTCACAGAAAGCAGAGTATTGAAAAACACCAGACACCCTTTTTTAACAGTAAGTATTGGGGACTAGTTTTAAGTACATTAGCAGGTAATTTTCAACATCCATTATGAACGTATTTTACAAACAAATTTTGAAGTCTTTTGCATGTTGATTTGTAAACAAGCAGTAGCTGTCTGGTGCCTATGATATCCTCTATCAGGATATGTAATTAAAAGTTCAGAAATAATGTTTCTAATAATTTTGTAAAACTTAACTGCACTGAAAACAAATTTAATTGTAGAATGTAACTGTTGTGCAATTTTTGTATTTGAACACTTTTAAAATAAAATCTATTGATGTCATAGAGTGTAATTTATTTTTACCAAGAAAACTTAATTAAGAATTCAGCAAAACAATAAAAATAACTATTTGTTCAACATTAGTAGACCATAGAGCCATAAAGCTCAAGTTCTAGCCCCACTATCTTTGTTTTCACATGGTTAATAATTAATAGAGGGAAAATACAGAAAAGAAGATGAAAATTTTGAGACTTATGAGAAATTATGGTTAAGTTTACAACTGGCTTTCTTCTGTAGAATTAATTCTCATTCCACTTCTATGAGAATATATTAGAAAATATTTTCATTTATTTCAAAATGTGATTACCATATTGTTAAGACAGGGAAATATCTTTTTTTTGGTGTTAAAATGTCAAAGTATAGCATGGAAGCTTTCCTTTTTAGAAAAACAAACCTTTTAGAAAGCAGAGGATTGCATTTACACTGCTTGGCCAAAATATTCTGGGAAATTCAGTCAAGGGAAAAGAGATTCTGTAATGTTTCTTAAATTAGAGTGTAAAGGTAAGCAGAAGTAGCCCTACCTCCAGTCAAATAATGCAACAATCTTAACTGCGGTTGTATCTTTTTATCTTTCTGTTATTCTAAAACAAGTATTTTAATGAGAAATGCAGTATTTAAGTCACATGAGTCTCTTTATGCTTCTTACATGTAGTTCTACTGAATTTCCTTTCTCTTCGGCCAAGTCTTCACCTGTAGATTTTGTATGATATCATTTTGTCCAATCAAAATGAAATCAACATTGATAAGTCAAAAATTTTAATTAACATCTGTTGCAACTTTAAAATGATATGTAAATAAATATATTAATTGGCGCTCAGTGTTTTTAATATTCCATAGTATGTGAAACTGGAGAGTCCTTGCTTTGGAAATAAAAGCAGGCTGGAGGTTAAGATCACTTTTAAGATTTCATTTAGGAGAAATTAAAAAGAATATTATAATTTCTCTCTTCATGGGCATTGTGGAAGTGGACATCATAAGATGAGTGGGAATAGCTGGTACCATGTATGGCAGTAAGAAATGTAGTATAAAACTGTCTGTTTCAGTAACCATTTATTATTTTATTGTGACAAGTATGATGTTTTCATGTCAGTGGCCATGTGGCAGAGGTGAGGAAAGACTTGAAAGTTTTTGTGTTAATTCATCTCAAATTCCAGATAGGAGATTACACTTAATTACTCTGAAAGTTCTCACTAAAGTCAAAATTTTCTACTTAAAAAGATAAAATTAAATTTTAATTAAATTGTACTTGTTTAAGTACAAGAAATTGGGTTAATACAAGATGATAATTGGTTTGATTTTGCTGTTTTCTTTGCAAGTCCTTGAAATATTCCTTCCAGACAAAGGATCGTTTGTGTTTTGTGATGGAGTATGTCAATGGAGGAGAGGTAAGTTTAAGAAAGATGTTCTGCACTTGTAATGGTAATACTGTCACTTGCTTACACTTTAAAGGTTATAATTTTTCTTGCCTTTTTTACTTTCTAGTAAATTTGAAGGGCTTTAAAAAATTTTTGGAACTGTTTTATGTAAAAAACAACAGTTGACATGTTTTATGTCTTTGCTGTCAAAACTACTTCCTATTTTGGAAAAATTAGACTCCTGTATAGTGAAAGATAACTTCATGGTAGTGAAATAATTGCAAATAGCTTGCCTTTTTTTTTTTTTCATTAAGCATGTTATAACACGCTCTGGCATATCTAATCATAACTAGTGTAAACAAGCAAAACCAGTGTTGACTAGTCTTACATATGAAATATGTGCTTTCTTTGCTATAGCTATTGCAAATATCTATTGGAAAAGAGTGGAGCATTCATATTTTTCAGTACTTCTATCCCCTTCACTTGCTGTGTACTCTGGAAATTTCAACTACAACACTGAACTTTTTAGAGTGTTGTTAGCTTTTAAGCCGTTGCTGTCCTCCAGCTGTTTACTAAAGAATGAAATATCAAAAGTGATACCCAGCAAATGGAATTAGAGAACTGCAATCTAAGAAGAAGACTTTTATCTACCTTTTAGATGCTGTTTGCTATTCAGATTGTCTCATTACAACATGAACTAGGCGATTTTCCTTACTTGTCTACTATATGCTGCATGATAATGTTAAAGGACTAAGTGTTTCCACTAGGTTTTTCTTTTTTTCTAATATTAGAAAACGATTTCTTCATTCAGGAATGTCTGTGGCATGATAACATGTTTTGCATTATGCTTTTGATGTCTTCTCCTGCAATAAAACTGTCTTCAGATATAACCCTAACGCCTAAACACCCCCAAAATGCCCGTCTTGCACTTGTTGCTCTGGCAGTTTGTCAGTCTGAGGCCCATTTGAATCCTGACTTGTTCTTGCCTGTCCTCTACCAGCCATGGCTAAATATGGTGCTATAGGGTTCTCATATGCCAGGATGGCTTGTCTGACTCAATTTGTATAAACCCAGTTCTGGACATCACAGGTATTGAACCAGACACAAAGATCTCCCTCAGCAGTAATGGGATAACAGCCTTCTCTTGGACACTCAGCTGGCTTATTTGACATTGAACTTATGTCACCAACACTAAGTCAGTGCTATCTGCAATGAGTTTTAAGTGTTGCCTTATAAACTAGCTATTCTTCATAGTTTTCTCTGTGTAAAACCTTATTGTATTTCTGTAATCTCTGGGGATACACTCCGAATGTATGTTTTTAATATCAACCTATCATTTAGCTATTAATCTTTTTAAAAGATACCTCTCTGTCCTATTTGAATGCAGAGCAGAGCACCTAGAGGATGTTTTCAACTCCTTTCTTATGACTGAGGATGGTCTGACACTGTATTTTGATCAATGCATTTCTCTGCATTGGGTGGTGCAACTTTGTGGCTACTGCTGCAAGCATCTTGTATCATGGATTTCTTGGTGGCAGTCTGCTTTTGCTTATCGGATTTGAATAATTGCAATGTGTTTTTCCAAGATTGGGTTGCTTTTTTCCAGGTACGATGCTTCTGTTTGTCAGTCTTGCTTGTGTTCTTTGCTGATGGTTCCCTAATTCAGTAAGCTAACCATAGATTTTTGCCACAGTGGGAAACTAATGGCTTTTTGGAATAGGCAGTTTTCTTTAAAGAAACTCTCTTGATTTGCTTATGTGCTTCTCTTTGATAAGAGATCTAGAATAGTAAGTTGGACAAGCTGTCTTTTCTAATAGCAGAATCTTTAATCTTATCAAATTTTCTTGTGAATTTCAGACTTTAGTCACTGTCTGCTAAGAAAAATACAGAGGACTTCATATTTGTAAAAATAGCCTTGTTATTAACTCAGAGCTACTGAAAGTGTGCTGCACAAAGTTTAGCCAGCATTTTAACCTATATGATACACAGACCTTTTTCTTTTGCTGCTTCTCTCTACTATTCTACCTGTGTTCCAAGGAAGTTTCATTTCCTTAGAATGTTTTCTGACTGTTGAAGGTGTTGAAAACTCACCTTTTAGTTATATACTTCCAGTGGGAAATTGACTGTGGCTGTAGCATGTTGCTTTTGATTCTCTCCAGTGCTGTACTGCCTTCAGTGTGTTTCTGTTTAAAATTCCTTTAGATTAAAGATTTCTTTTTAGTTAAACTGCTCTGACTGAGTCAGTTGGTTGGGAATTTTCATGGATTATATCTGTCAGGAGCACCATTCTCCAAATGAAGGAGTTCTTGATGTTTTGATACATATTCTTGACTCTTACCTAAATGCCACATTTTAGGCTTCTGCCCTAGTACAGATAGGTGTGGTCAGTACTCAGAGTCTTCGGTTCCTCTTGCTATAGCTAGAAAGGAAACAGTCAAGGAAGGGGTCACTAAATGTCATTCTGGAGGAGAAGAAATTGTAAGCAAGAATCTTCTGTATCTATAAAAAATCTAGATCCGTGTTAAATTTAATATCCCACTAGAATGGTAAAAAGTTATCTTTGCCTTACTTTGCCTACGTAACTTAAAATTAAAATTCTCAGTTAATAAGAGAACACGTTACAATGAAAATGGAACTGCATCAGATTTACTGGTCTATGTGTGCATTTTTTACAGCATACAAAGTATTACAGTGAAGAATTCCCTTTTGACTTTCTTTTTTTAAAACAAAGCATATTATGTACATAAATACAGTAAAGAAAAACATTAGAGGATTTTTTCAAGTGGATTATTCAGATGGAAATATGTTTTCCTTATACTGACAACTTTGATCACAGAATCACAAAATATGCCAAGTTGGAAGGGACCCACAAGGATCATAAAGTCCTGCTTAAGACCCAGTCTTGAAATAATTGTGGGCTGAAAGCTAAATTTTTTCTTTATTTTGTTTTTCTGTTGGACTCTGTGGATGAAATGTTTTCCAATATCTATTGATTATAAACTTTATTGTAGTATAGAGCTATAGGAGGATACTTCTGCCATTATGATTACTTCTCAATACCTTTGTTATTGAAGAAATTACATTAAAGTAGCCTTAAGATATCGAAAATTCAGTTGGGGTAAAAACATTAATCTGGCTTAGCTGAAATGACCAAATGGCTCTTTATTGTTGGGGAATAATTTTGGAGTGTGTTTCCCATTTTTTATTTCAAGTATTTTGTTTTAAATGTTGAGAAGCATTTAGGAATGAAATCTATTACATACATTACTCTGCAGAGTACACTGGTTCAGCTGACTAATAAGCTGAACTTATTATTCCTTGCTCTGCATTTTCAGGATAATTCCAGATTCCATACTTTGTAACCAACTTAATTGGTAATTATGTGTATAACAAAATTAGACTCTAAAATTTGTTCAGATGGTTTCTCCACTCAGAGAATTCTGAATCTCTGTTCCTCTTGGCATTTTTGTTTCACAGCTCTTACTTCAATTCATTAGGCAGGAGAGAACTAAATGGTTTGTTGTAATTGAACAAGTGCTGTTACTGTCTAGATAAAAAAAGGCAGAGGATGTACAAGCTACCTAACAAAAAATAAGTAAATGAGAGAATATTCCTTAGCCTAAAATTATGATAGTCCAAGATAAGGATGCTACATTTCTTTGGGTATCGAATGTACCTAGAAACAGTATAAAGTCTGAAACAATAAAAAAACAATAAAAAAAATAATTCAAAATTTCAAGGCTGCCACTGCGAGTACTTTGCAAAATCAACAGTCAAATATAAAATGCAGAGCTAAGTAAACCCAATACAAGAGTAGGAGCCAGACATACAACTCAGAATATGCCAAGTAAATCACTAGCGTGTGTAGAAGTTTAACATATCAATTGATACAAGGTTATGTCTTTTATATATTTGTCATACTTGGATCTGCAGGTGAATATACTTTTATGTTTGATGTTTGTTAAAATTTTTTCATTAGGAAAAAACCTCATGGCAACGTTGTTGTTCAGTTTTTAAAAGCATACCAGGAAATTCGTAGCTCCAGTCTTCACTGTAACAATCACACCCTTGTGTATGCCATAAAAATGTTATGTGCAAAATGGCTTTCTTTGTGCCAAACCTATTTCTATTGCAATTCCAATTGCTTTATAGCACATATTTAATAACTGTAAGTCAATAAATTGTGCAAATGTTGGAAACATTTTTTATAACCTTCAATCAACTTTCTTCCTTTCCTTCTCTGACTTAATAAACGTAATCTTCCAGTCCTGACAATTGTAAATAGAACATGGTGACAGAATTATTCCAAAGTACTGAACCAACTAAATAATTAGCTGAAAATAATGATGTAATCTCCTGCTTTCCCTATTATAATTTTAGAATCTGCTTTAGTATCTTTAGTATATATCTGAGTGTATGAATGCACTTGTAACCTGCATTTTTATATCTAAATGTACACTCAAAACTAGATGTATGGTTTGGTGACAACTCAGATGCTAAAATAATATGAAGAAGAGTGACTGTAGTGTCACATATATATTAAAATAAACTGACTCAGGAGCTCATAGTTTCTTTGGCAATCACAGTACTGCTGTTAGTTGTTTCTAGCTGGTCATTTTATGTTGAAGTTAGTATTTTTAGTTAAAATAAATAGTTTTGTTGTAAATAAACACTAAAGAAAATAAATTTTTCCTATGTTAACTTTTCAGGTTATCAAGTCTCAGATTTTAATTGGGACACTTTAAATAGAAACTAATACAGCTGCATTGCTGACAAGTATCCTGAGGTTTTAGAATTTTCTAAGACTGCTTCTCAACTACTGGATTAGTCTATTTCATAGAGAAAATTGCAATAATCCTTTAGCATAGATATGAATGTAGGGCTAACAGGAAGTTATAAATTTTTTGAATGTGTTGACCTCTATTTTTAATTATTTTTAATCCATCAAAACAAATAAAACTCTTAAAAGTGAGTGGGATTAGGCCATTATTTATGAAAGAAATCACAAACCAGACATAAATGCATAAATTGCATACATTTTTTATTTTTCTTTGTTTGGATGAAGTTCTGCTTAGTGGTATCTCTTATTTAAATATTGCAAAAATATGTGAAAAAGTCCACACAAATTGGGAAATTTGTTTGTTCTTTTCCCAGTTTTGTAATATGTGAGGGATATCATGAAGTCAGACTTAGTTGCTTAGTCTGGATGGGTCTTGTGTTGGCATTGACTGTTAAGCAGGCATCAGTCCAGAGAGCAAGTTACTACAGGGAGGGCTGATGTCGCCATCAGGGATTGGTGCTTAAACAGGGAAATGAGCAACAGGAGCAGTACAAAAATAATGATCCTCCTCATCATGCAGATATGCCATTTTTATACAGGATGCCTTGACAATTGGAAAAGAAATTGAAAGGGGAATCCAGATACAATGAACAAAAATTAAATACTTTCTTTAAATCATAGTGCAGTTTCTGTTTTCTGTGAAGTCTCTGCTTATACAGATATATGCTGCCAAAAGGCTTCGATTATTGAAAAGTTTGTTTAGGTTAAGAATAAGGTAATACACCTATTTTGAACTACAGCTGTCAGGAAAGAAGCTGAGTTCTAGTTCATAGCAGTGACTTTTTAGTTACATTTTGAAAAGTCACAGAATCATCAAGGTTGGAAGAGACCTGTAAGACCATTTAGTCCAACCATCAACCTAGCTCCACCATAACCACCCCTAGTACCACATCCAGAAGTCTAACTGCTGAAAATAGTTGCAGTAATTCCTCCACTGTTCTGTGCCACATGAATAGTGTGTATTTCCTACAGACATAAAGTAGGTGGTAGTAAGGATGGATTAATCACATAATTGTTTTTTTGGTTGGTTAGCTTTTAGGATTCTTTTTTTTACCTACCTTGTCATTTTAGAATTCTCATCTACTTGATCCTTTTAGCTGTGAAAATAAAAAAGGTGCATTGTTGTTATGGATTTCACTGTCTATGTCTAATTTATAAATGATAACATTGTCTGTATTTCTGTTTTGTTGATTGTTAGCTCCTGTGGTAAACCCAAAAACATTGTAACATGGCCCATTTTTAAGCAGAATACAGAAATATACTCACTAATCTTTGCTGGAGGACTTACCCAAACTTTCTTAACACAGTAAATGAAACTCGCCATTTTGGAGAACATTTGGATTAAATAGCCAGTTGTGCTTTTTTAAATGTTGTTCCAAGTTCTGAGGGTGATGTTTTATCCATTAAGATGCTGACAACCTTACAGAGTTTCACCTCACACTTTTTCATTGCAGCTGAAATTACTGGCAATATGTAATGTTTAGTATTTTTCGCTGAAAGACTTCAGTTGAAGAAGTGTCTGTGAAGTGATTTTACTTATAAAGTATTAAAGAAGAGACAAAACCTGCAAAGAAATATTTACATTGTAGCAAAGAAATACACTAAATACATAGATTTATTTTTTAAGCTCTAAGCAGTTGTTTATTTTCTTTTTCTAGTGACTGTGATGTTGCTAGCAGTATGAATGTGCTGTTTTTGTAAAATGCCTGCTCACCTGTTCAGTCGAAGTCTGTTGAAGAGCTAGACTTTTTTCAGTTCAAAGAAAGGTTACTAAAGTACTGAAAAACATAAAGTGGAACCAGAGTCTAGGTATTTTAGTGGTATCTCCCAGTGGCTGAAAGCAAAATTTTGAGGAAGTGGTAGAGGGAGAAGTACAGAATGACACTGTTGCATACTTTTTTTTTTTCCCTCTGGTAACTGAAGGTTAAATGAGTAGCAAGCAGAATGCCTTAAACAAGATTGGTATATTGATTAAAACGCTGATTTAACAGCTCGCTTTCTCCCTTTGGAAACCTGGAAAAGATAAGCCAGCTGCTGTCTAAGAGTGCGGAGTGTCCACTGAGAGTACACTATCTATCATCACAATATGGTGATGAGAGGTGTTTTATGTTTGTGTTAATTTCCCCCACTAAATCAGTAATTATTACAATCCTGTCCCTGCTGTTTACCCTGCAGCTGTTTTTCCATTTGTCGAGAGAGCGGGTGTTCTCAGAGGACCGCACACGCTTCTATGGTGCAGAAATTGTCTCTGCCCTGGACTATCTGCATTCTGGGAAGATTGTGTATCGTGATCTCAAGGTAAAAAAAGAAAGGAAAAAAATAATCAAATTTTTGTTTTTGCAGAGACTATGGGGACAAACACAAAGTAATTATAAGGTTGCACTATTCAGAGTTAATGGGAAAAAAAAATCTGTGTTCAGTTTTAAGTTCTGTGTGTGCTGGAGGAAGTTGTTTGATACAGTATCTCTAGATGCGTACATTCCCTGACTTTAATGATTAAAAAATGAAACAGCACCCTGTAATAACAACATTTGAGGGAAATTTAAACTTCTGATCCTCATCCTCCCCACCCCTTGCCCTATTACTTAACTTGGATTTCAACACAAATCTCACATACAATTCTCAATGTCCTCAAACAAGGGAAATGGTGAATTGGGACAATGTGACTGAATTCTGTTTATCTCAGCAAAGAGGTATGTTTTTGTGTGATGTGAAGACATTTAAAACAGTTCAGAATACTTCAATAGGAAAAGAATTTCAGCATTAATTTCAAAATTATTTTGTCTTTTGTATCTTGGGAAAGATTCATATTATTAGAATGTGGTTTGTCTTAGATTTGCCTGCGTATATAGTTGTTTATCCTCTGTTGCCTGGCACTCTGTTGATCCAGGTGCTCTGTGTCACAGTATGACCATGTTCTATGGAAAATAACTTCTGTTTTGAACAGGAACATTTTCTAACTTATGTGGGAAGAATCTCTAAATTCCATGATAAGACTGTTTTATTTCTGTGTCAAGCCTTTAATTTCATGTACAGGAAATTTTGCTTTCCCACTGTACATGCACACTAGTGGAATTCATTCATGGAATCCTTTGTACAGGAACCGAGGAGAAGGAGGCGGTGGTAGGCAAGTTCTGCTCAGGGAGGCAGACAGAAAACAAAATACTGTGTTACCTGTTTGTAGCAGAATCTGTCATACTAACAGAAAATGCTGTGACATCTTGGAAAAATATGGAATTGTCTGGTCAAGGAATGATAGGTGAATTTTTATTTAAATTCTAAATAATAAGAAAAGACAAATTTGATGTCATTACTCTTTTATTTCTGATGTCATCTACTTTAGTTTTCTTTGTATGACACAGACTCAACAGGAAATTTATACCTTTGAATTATATTTCAGGCTTTATACAGACTTAGAAAGAGAGGGCTATGATTGTTCTATATTGGTGTTTTCACTACGTACCTTACAATTTGAAAAAAAAAATGTTTTTTGTTGAGAAAAGTTGTTCAGAATACATTTTCCTTTTTTTCAGTTCTATCTGTATTTTAAGTACTGCTAATTAAAAACTTTTGGGAAAGTGATATTAGCTATTTCATATTTCAAAGCAAGAATCATGAATTTAAAAAGCAGTGCAAAGCATGCAGAGGTACATATTAACCACTTCAGAAGTGTCCTTTGCAAGTAGACAAAGAGGAATTTACCTCAGTTTTGATTTTTATCAGTAGCTGCTTTATCCCCACTTCTGTCTGTTATTGAAAAAGTTGTGGAAGATGGAGGTATTTTAAGGATTTATGGATATATGCTGTTTCATGACAGTATAGTAAGTAAACTGTACCTTGATAAGTGAAGGTCATGTTAAAGCAAAGGAAATCTATGAAGTCTTACCAAATGACAGCCATGGTTGCAACCTTGAATTGCTTGATTGCATCTTCAGAATGTTTAGAAAATTATTTTCCTTTTGTTCTATGGAAGATGCACCAAATTTGTAAAACTTCAGAATGAAGGGTCATGCTTTGACTGACCTGAGATTTACTATTGTAAACTATATTAAAGTATTAACTAATTATTTAACTTGTATGACAGTAAACACTGTTAAATGCTGTAACATAATAGATGCTGTAATTTTTTTTAATTAAAACCAAATTACATTCTGTTGCAAAGATAACTCTATCTTTTTCACAAAATTCGTGTAACGCATTAACCTGTCCTGTTAAGAAATACTAAGGGAACATTTTTCTCCCCAATACACAGTTAGAAAATCTAATGTTGGATAAAGATGGACACATAAAAATTACAGATTTTGGACTTTGCAAAGAAGGAATCACAGATGCAGCAACTATGAAAACATTCTGTGGTACTCCAGAATACCTGGCACCCGAGGTATGATTTAGAATATGTTCTTATAATACAAAATGTTTCTTTTCCATTTAATTTTAGACTGACAGTTTGCCTGATTAATACTATACAGTTGTTATTCAGAATGGAATGTGCTGCTATTCTTTGAGGTGATTGTATGTATATTGATGCTTTACTTTGTAGTGTTTAAAAAGGCCTCTAATGTGCTCTTTCCTTCTCATGTTTGCCTTCCTCTGTTAAAGTTTTTATCTTCCGATGATTTCTTAAAAAATAATTTTCCATCTGTCTGTCACTTGGAACATATGATCCTGCCTAACTGAGCTGTATAGCTAGCATTTATATAGCCTCAGTGGAGGCGAGGGAAAATAGGAAGGTACTGAGTTTGGGTTTTATCTGAACTCCCCAGTTGCAGGAAGAGGGATTTGAAATTTTAGATATTTCTGCTAAAAACAGTTGTGTATAAACCTGAGAACTGGTTGAGGTGGGCACCAAAACTGAGCTGTTTCCTAGTATGTAAGCAGAAGGGATATCACGGGTTATGTCACCTCATCTTTATGATTAGCTAGCACCAGGAGTGCCAAGCATCACACTTCTCCAGAATTGATAAAAAGATGGACATGAGTGCATTGTTTGGTACCTCTTGCAGCTCTGGTTTGGCCACTTCAGAATCTGTTGTAGAAGCCCAAGTCCATCCAAATGATCTGCTCCGGTATTATTAGTGCTGACAGCTTTGCCACCAATGTCTACTAAAAGAAAGCAAAGGAAGCACTACCGAGATTCGGTTTTTGTCCTTCAGTCAACAGTACTGATTGTGGTGCTTGGAAATGTAACTCTGACTCTCCGCAGGGGCTGCCAAATGCAGCTCCAGTATTGACATGAAAGACAGCTTCATTTTTTTTACTTAATGCCAAGGATTCTGTGAATGTTGAATTAGCCCTTATTTCCACTCTTGTCAGCATTCAAGATTGCTAATTGACATAGTGCATACCTGATACTGAGATACTTTCAAGTCAACCTAAAGGGCTTTAAAAAGGCCCTTCAGTTCTACCATTTGTTTTAAGAAGGATTTGAAGAGTTTCCTGAGGGATTTCCCACCTCTTGCAGCAGCTCAGCACCACCAGAAACTTCATATTGTCTTTAAAGAGGAACGTGCCTTAGTTTGAAGGGAGGACGCACTGATTCAGGGTAGCTCTTTATTCTCTTACTATCAGCAGAACTGAATGCTGAGTAGCAGCCACAAGCCCTGGAGCCTGTTTCAACAAGCAATTTAGATTGCATTTTGGTTTTTATTCTAAATCTTACAATTAAGGGATGTCAAAGAAACTGATATACATCACCTTCTGGATAGTGCTGTCTGGAAATGAAGATTTTAGGATGTTTGCATGTTTGAGAGTCTTTCTAAATCTCTGAAGTTTGAAGTCTTTTCCAATTTACACTCAGGGAGGAAATTGAAACTGCTGATAGTTGGTTATGAGTCAATATGGTATGTGGAGTTGATGAAACCATTTTGGATCATAGCAAGATCTTTTGATACATTCCTTTTGTCCAACAGTAAAGGAAATATCAGGAGCCACCAACTTTCTCCTTATCCATCTGGTACTGTTTTCCTTAATTCTTTCAGCAGTGAAGAGAAATCTGAACAGTCATTCTCTCACACTGCAGGTTTGAAGTACCTAAATAATTTTGGTTGGCTAAATGTGTTCATTTCAGCTGTTTGGTGAGTCACCAACTACATGAGCTGTGAAGATAAACTTGCTGATACCTGGCCTCCTTTGCAGAATTCCATTCTCTAGACTCCGAGGGAGACTTGCATACAGATTGTTGCTATTCTGTTTGGCAATTTCTGACCTCTCCTTTGTGTTTAGTGCAGAGACAGTTAGCAATTATCTATGTTTCAGGATTCCAGAACTATTTTTGACCTGCTTTGAATCTTTTATGGCTACTTAGAAGAAGTTGCAGATCTGCCTGTTTGGCTTGGTACAGTGGCCACATTTCTTGTGTGTGCTGGCTCTTAGCCAGCAGTCTTGAAAACATTCTCAAATAGTGCAAATATCCCATTCAGTTGCTTTCATCTTCTTCTCCTTCTCTCACTTTTGAACACATGTTAGCTCTCTTTCATCAAACTTGGCAAGTTTGATTCTGGGTTTTAGACACTTAACACAAGCTACTCGATCCAGTTTGCTTTCCAATCCTTCAGAAGTCCCACTTCTCTCCTCCACCTCCCATTATGAATATTTTTGGAGACCCACCTTGTAAAAATCTATCTTGAAGGAAATTGACTCTTTGTTAACCCTGAGAACAAGAGAACTCATTCCCTTTTACCTCAGAGATAAAGTGTCTAGAGCAAGCAACCTAGATAGGTTACTGATACGGCATAAGAAGACTCAACATCTTTATCCACACATCCTTATTTAAAAGAGTGAAATTAGCAGTATGTGAACAACCTCACTAAAAATAAACTTTCCCTTTGTACTCTCTGCTACTACAATAGTGTGTACCAGTGCATTGGCTGGATAGTTGCTCACTTGAGACAGTTGTATCTATTTTTATAGGTGGAGCAGCTGGCTGATAAAGGAACCGTCAAGAGACTGGGTCCACCAGTCTATTTATGTGTGTGTGTTTCAGAGAATGAGTGCGCAGAGATCACTTCTCTTTGCAGTTCATGCCAGAGAAATGATTACCAAATAGCAAAGATTTACTACCTTGTGACAAACTTCACATCATGAGAACTGAATGTTACAACTGGACTTGAATCCAGTTCCCATGGTGAATTCCTGCCTGTCGATCCCAAGACAAATGGCAGCATATACTTATGTTTTGCCTGGTTGTGGTAAGTGTAAAGGCAGATACCTTTTAGCCTTTCTTTAGAAGCAAGATATTCTCCATTGATGGGTAGAAATCCATTCGGCATCTGCCCTTTTAGTAACACCCTTGCATCCTCTTCTTTCTCACCTATGTCAGTTGTGGTGGGGGCATCCCTTCTGCAGGCCTTTTAGTTCAGCTAGTTCAGCTTTCCATGTACTTGATAGCTGGTGTAACACGCAGGGGTACCCTGAGGCTCCTGCCTACTACCCAGGAAGCAACTGTTCATGAACTTGTACTGGCAAGGATCTATACCGAGGTTGAGAACTGACTTAACATTTTCTTTTGTATTAATTCAGTTTTGTGAATTTGGTACCAAACAATACTTGGTTCTCCAAATGAGTTTTGCACCATTGCTTGAGGCATAGAGTCCTGCTCGCTATTCCATCTTTTTCCAAAACTAGATTGCAGTTACTTCCAACGGGAAAACAGGGAAGTAGCTAAGCCAGAGTAACATGTATTTTCTTCTTGCATGACATTCTCTCTGGTGAAGGTGTCCTTGTGGATCCATACAGAATTATTTCCCAAGGCAATTTCAGAATTACTCTTGATCAGGAAGTTAACATACCTGTTGCTGTGTTTTCCTCACAAACCTTATGTTTCTGAGATCAAAATAGTTCTTTCAACCCCCTGTTGAGAAGGCTCTTTCATCTCATATGGATGGGGCCTGACCTTTCATATAGGACCTGACACTGACTGTGTAGATAATTGCCAGACCCAGAAAAATGCCCCTGTCCGTGCACAGACCAAATGGATGGTAGGCCATAGAAAAAAACTGTAGTGAACTTGCCAGGTTAGAGTCATTTTTTGTCTATGGCGATAGAATTATTTTCTAGACCGTCACTGATTTATCATTTGTGGAACTCATGTGGAAGTTTATGCGTACCTTCAGCATGCACTGTGATGTTCAGGGTGTGCAGGGCTTCTGGCTATGTGGTGTATAGGTTACATTCCCTTCCTATTCTCCTCTCCTAGTCCTTCCCTGTTATTCAACGCCAGTGTTCTACAGTTTAAAATAAACTAAAATAGCATTGTCTGTGTTTGTCTTACATTTTTATGTGTCAAGCATAAAAGATGGTAGGGTATGAACACATCCTCTAAGAAGAAAATAGTTGCTACTGTCAAATAGCAGGGCTTACATTTATTACCATACAGATCTACCTTTTATCACACTTATTGAAGAATGAGCAAGTAACTTTTTATTTGTGAAATTATATAGTCTTTTGAGAATAATGTGGTTGTCTGATAGTGAAATTCCTCTTTCATCTGCAGTAGAACTAATGCAAACCTCATTTTTATGTATGTGTGTAAGTGTAATGGTAATATTTAATACTTCCCTCTGCTGTAAGAATCTGTGGTACTTCCTGTTTGAAAGGTATAAAATATGTTATAATTTCTCACTTCTTAGTAGCTTTTCAGGAAGAAGAGACTATTTCTTATGAGTCTGTTTCTGTTGTTACTCTTCAAAGTAAGCTGTCAAATTTAAAGATCATTGTGGTGTCACAAAATATTGATGGATCCAATGAGAAAAAGATGAATTGTGATCCCATTGAGGAAACAGATGTATTCTTGACTTTTTTTCAGAAAAGATGTTTCTTTTGCAGTTTTGCAGTGACAAAGACAGGACAGTATCACTTGCTCAATAAAGAAAGGATAAAACTGAGAAAGTACTTGTAAATATACCTTGTAATATACCTGTGAGACATTTAAAAGCAGTTTGGATTTTGATAGTTTTCGGTTGACCATTTGTCATGGGTTTACTCTGGCCGGATTTCAAACCCCTGCAAAATTGCTAAAAGTTCGGAGGGGTCACACAGGCAAGACAGACTTGATGTGAGGATTAATATTAAAATTTATTGCTAACAGGATAGAAACTAAAAAGTAATAAACTAAACAGTCTTAAACACACTTTTTAACCACCCCTCGGCCCCCTGCATCAGTGCAGGAGGAGAAGTCCCTTCTTTACTCTCAGGGCGATAGCTCTTCCAAATCTACTTCACTTGAGACTCCCTCTTCCATTATCTCCAGGGCAACAGCTCTTCCAAATCTGTCTCACTTGAAGGTCTCTTCTGTGGGGTGCAGGGGGGGTCTCTGCACCCCGGTGGTCCTTCATGGGCTGCAGGGGGACAATCTGTCTCGCCATGATCTTCACCACAAATTAC